GCAAATCGGATCTATCTATCTGTCACGTGTTCACGTGTCAGTCGCTACGCGCTTATTGGAGCAAGGCCGTTATATGCCAGTCATGACTGTCTCCCAAGTCTATTAATGTATTACTTTCTGCGAAAAATACATTTTTCTTTATTTCTATTACATTTCTCTGCGTGTGCGATGTCAGATATTTAATTTGCCGTTATACAGCACGTAATAAGTTTCGTCGAGATACGCTTGTGAAACATCGAACGTTATTCATTCACAGTCAGCGTTTGTGCACTGAAAGAATCGGAGTAAAAATCGAAATTAAAGCCAACGGCACACGATACTGTTTTTTTTTCCTACTGGGTTGCTTGCGTGAGCCAATAAAGATGCAGAGTTTTAAGCCAACGGCACACGATACTATTTTTTTTTCTACTGGATTGCTTACGAGAACCAATAAGGATGCAGAGTCTTAAGCCAACGGTACACGATACTATTTTTCCCTACTGGATTGCTTACGAGAGCCAATCAGGATGCGGAGTTTAAAGCCAACGGCACGCGATACTATTTTTCCCTACTGAATTGCTTAGACTATTAATATTACACACTTTGAACACTACACGGTGAAAATTTCCTCTTAAAAATTACCCTGAAAATCTTAATCGTGAGACATGGCATTTTGAAGAACTTTATAAGCCAACATTTTCGCGGCCGTGTGTGAGGAACCGTAAAGTCGCGGTCACCCGTCCAAGTTTTAACCACACTCGATGTTGCTTAAGGGGACTCTGGAGTGATTCTGCACTTTTGGCACCTTTTGCTCCTAGAACTGTCGATTTGTGAAAACATTTGTGTAACGTACAAATTATGTGGCTTTTGTGCACAGACCGACAGTGTCCCACTATTCAGATTAAGTGAAAGAACATCATGGTACCATTGAAATTAAGTTTAGGAGCTTAACAAGAAGTCACTTGAATAAGTTATAGGTTACCTAAACCCATTACTTATTTGAGTGAATAGATTTTTTGCTACCTAACCTATAACTTATTCGAGTGAATAGAGTTTTTGTTAGGCCTCTGAGCTTAATTTCAGTGATACCATGCTGTTCTGTGACTTAATCTGAATGGTGGGACACTGTCGGTATACAAAAGTCTGTACACAAAAGCCACATAATTTGTATGTTACACAAAGGTTTTCACGAATTGACAGTTCTATGAGCAAAAGGTGCCAAAAGTGCAGAATCACTTCAGCATCCCCTTAACCTCGATAATCGGACGGGCTAGCAGTGATCCTTTGACTCTGACACTACCTTGATGAGCTTTATGAGAGTTTTTGAAATTTTACCACACATTTCTACTAGTAACATGTATACTAACAAGTAATACTTTGAATAATAAATTCTTATTTTTAATTTTATATGTAAAATGTATTGTGCACATTTAATAATATGACATTGCAGGCAATAATAAAACTAAATTAAATTATAAAACAGCTTTTATTTAAAAAAAATTGACCGAGCAAAATCTAAACGCGCGCCTTAGCCTTCGCACCCACCACGAGGTTAAGTTACGGTAATTACAGTACACGTGGCCGCGCATGCTCAACTTTTAACTGCAAATTTCTCAAAAACGAAGACCCATTCGCTCTATCCCTTCGACACTTTTCATAAACCCAGTAACCCTCCTTCGAATAGACTATGTCTCGTTTCGAAATCGATTTCGCAATTCTTGCCAACTTCTTGTAAGTAAAATTACTAGCGAAATGTATGGTAAAGTTTCAAAAAGCTCATGACATTCTTCGAAATGCCACGTTGCCCCACGATTACGTGAAGAACAAATTCTCTCCGTATATTGGTAAAGTCCCCTATTATGAGACAGGCTCCTAATATGGGACAGCGGAGTTTCTGCTCAATTAATTGGCATCATCTGTTGGTTCCACCATGGATTTGTTGCCCTCGGGGTGAAATCTGTTTAGCGAAAAATTGACCGTTTGATCGTGTAATCGTTGCGAAAAAAAGTTGTAAACCTGCTCTCTCTCATATTAGAATCCTATCTCACAATTTCCTCTGCATGTAACGTGCGAGTTTTTTTTTCTGGGAAAACTTTAAATCGCACTGACTGCGTTATTAATTAAGACGCGCCAGCGAACGCGATATGCTTTTCCCGAGACGTGACGCAGGTTCGCGTTTCTCACTGTGAAATCTGAAATTCCTGGAAGCGATCGGGTCGTCCTTAGTGGCGCCTTCAGCTGAAACGGTAAACGAAGAAGTTTCATATTCCAACTGGTTCAACAACATTATAACTGTTGTTGCTGCGATCGCAAGCGTTGTCGCAGAGTAGCGCAGCGCCGTGTGTATCGACTAATGTAGGTCGTCTCGTATATAATTTTTCATCGCGTTCGCCGATGCCCCCGCACGACATTTCCCCGCCTCGCGCCACGTTCGGGGCGAGGGGGAGAAGTGGCGAATAATCTCGTCCACCAGGCCACCAACAGTCACACCCTAATCTCAAAGGTTCGGCGTCGGCACACGTTTCTGTGTTTCGCCAACACGGCAAGGCCCATTCGACGCGGGGGACCTGACGATTGTCGCCGGAGTCAATCTTTCATCGCGCGTTACATTCCACAGAAAAAAAAAGAAAAGAAGAATCCCTTTTGTGCGGGAAGAGAACTTCCAATCGGCACTTTATTACTTTCTGTCGAGAACTTGTGGGGGGGGGGCGTTTAACCAACTTTTTCACTTTCTCAATGGCTCACAGGTGACGGGAAACGGTTGAGTAATGCGCGCCTAGTTTTTCTGCGATATCTCGCAGAGGTTCGACGTGTCGCGGATTCCGCTGAAATCTGACGACTCATCGTCATGACTTCTCCTCGGAGAGGGGGGGGGGGGAGTCGTTTTCAAGACCCCGTATATATTGTATGTACTTCTAGATCGAAGTTTTTCGACGCCATGCCCCTTCGCTAATCGTACTTTCTGCGAATACATTGACGTTGCGTGTTGACTCGACTATATCGCATCCAGGTCGAATCTCGTACAAGAAAAATTACGTGCTCTTTTTTTTGTTATCCATTTATCATGCTATCCGCCTTACACGAGGTTCAGAGGTGAAATAGCCTGGTGGTTTTTTTCTTTTGCAATAGAATTTCTACTTTGAACTTGATACATCGCTCTCGCGCCATTTGCCAAGTTTTTTTTCGTTATTAAAATCATAAATTTATCGCGCTGTGCTATCGGCCACTTCATGTACAGCAGTAAAATATAGCATTTGCGCCTATTGATTTGTCCCTGAATCTGATTACATTTCTTCTTCTTTTTGGGTTAAAGTATTCGTTGCTGTTTCTGGTACATATTTTTACAGCGATAAAATATTAAAGAAAAACAGTGAGCATTTCTTATAGTTTTTTATACTCGAGACTTCGATCAGAGAAACGTTCCGTTACGTGTACAATTAAAAAAAATTCCAAACAGATAGTAAAACTGTGAACTGACATCAATTTTTTTAACGTAATGCCATTCATAATGTACGTAACATTTCAATACTTCATTGTTTATGCAACAATTAACATGATTTGTATTTAGTTTTCTCTCGTTCAAAATTAAATGCCTCGCTAGAAGTTTCAACTTTCAAAAGTAAATTTATTGTGAGGATATTAATGAGATTTTCGCGTAGTCGACAATTGGATCTATTATAACACCACAGAGAGAATGTAAATTAAACCATCACGATCACATCTGTAAAACATTGATTCTGCATATTTATATTTAAAAAATTTCTTATTTCCCTTTTTCTTTTGGTTCAATTAGTTCGTTCACAAAACTGGAGAGTCATAGATTTCAGTCCAACCAAAATACAAAATTATTATGCAATTTAATTCGCTGACAATAAGCTTTATGTATTAATTTATTTATTTATTGAAAACACCCCTGTCAGTGCTCGTTAATTTCTGACCCCTGACTGTCTTTATTGTTTATACATGTGTGATTTAATTTTCAGCGTGTAACATCTTGCACACCTCACTCTTATCAGATCCTCTGCGAAAACTGACGCATATCAGCTGCCGAGCATGCGAGGCTTGATCGCTAATGCACTCTTGCGTCGGAATTCGCAGAAGGACATCGCATGACGGCGCCTCTTACACGTATTCTTACATGTATTTTTATAAATTTAGACTTTGCGTTATACTTCTCGCATTACATCTCCGCACGAAGGACGAAACTAAAAAGACTTGTGCAATAGGGCCCTCGGTTATGGATTAAGTCCCGTTATAAACTTAATTGGCCGATAATCGTACATCGGCTCAATTAAGCGAGCCGCGTGTATACGTGTAGGTACTGCGATCTGTCTTGCTGTTGCCGCCACTTGGTGCGACACGATCGTATCTCTTGACGTGTTTTCAATCGTTTGATTTGCAACCGTCCCATGACAAGACCCGGTATTTAATCGCTAAAATTATTCTTCCTACTGAAATCTTTATTTTCACCCAAATTCCTTTTAAATAACTGAAAATGTTGAGCTTTGAGAGCGGATATAACTTTCTCGACACTTTATAGTGTGTACGTTAAAAGAAAGATTCTTTTTCATTTCAATTCGAAAAATTTGTGATGCAAGAAACCGCATCGGACCCCGGAATTGTACCTGACTTTTCAAATTTAAAGGATCACTTTATTTCTCGAGTTTGAAAAAGAAATTCTTTTCTATCGAACAGTATTTTTTTTCTAACGATTTTAGGCAATAGTTCTTGATGGACTCGTTCGTATTCGCTCTCTTCCTCTCTAGCATAATTTTTTTTTATAAGACCCCGCGCGAAACGGTTAAGGGCGACAGCACGCAATCGAATCGAAAAGAGCGAGCTCTCTCCAAGTTGAAAAGCGAATCCAACAGTCCTCCCGCGGCCCAACAGCCGTCCCATCCTGCCTGTCATCGGCCTGGTGGGCCCGGTGGGGCCTGGTGGGGCTCTCGCTAGATCCCGAAGTCTTCGCCCGAGATAAAACACATTATAAACGGCCGCCCGGGACGGGTATCTGGTTTCAGGGAAGCGGCGGCACGTGCGCCGGAGCTGCTCGGGCCCAGGTGGTGTCGCTCGCGCTGCCGAGGAAGAAACGCAAGAAGGAGAGGTCAACCATAGAGGATGCCGCGAGACGGGCGGGGTGTCAATCGAGGAGATTAGCTCGTCGTCGGTGGCGAGGAGCAATGTTCCCCGCGACGACAATGACGTCGTCGCTAGCCGCTGCCGCTCGCCGTCTTACCTCTGCCATCATCACCGTTATCGTAGCCATCGTCATTCGTCGTCGCGTCAACGATACCACCATCGAAGGGACATCGGCGACGGGGGCAGCGACGGCGACGGCGACGATAACGATGACGACGACGGCGGCGACGACGAGAGGGACGAGAACGACGAGAACAACGAGTATGACAAGAATGACGAGGACGACGACGACGATGACGACGACGACGACGACGACGATGATGATGACGATGACGATGACGATGATGCTGATGCTGAAGAGAAGGAGGACGATAAGATATGTCTCGAACGTCTTCATCCTCGCCTTCATCGGTTCTACGATCGGCGGCCTCGCGGAAGCGGCGACGTTGATGCCGATGTCGAGGTCCATCGAACCGAGACGACGACCGTCCATCCTCTCGCACGAACCTCGCCTATCGCGACCAACGCCGTCGCTAACCCCTCTGTCGTCACTGCCATGGCGAGAGGATGCAAAATTCCGCCTTATCTCGCGACTATACTACTTCTTTCCTACACGCTCTTGGGTATAGCAGGTTGGTATCAGCATGTGTTGTTACACACCCGACTCGCGTAACCCGTCCCGCGTATATACGGCTCGCACAATTAGAGGAACGAATTGCATCTTAACCGAATGTCCTTAAATTGCGTTTATACTCGCTATTTGTGTTTATAAGCCGCGCTACAATTTGGCGGTCGCCGGTATTATCGGGTACAAAAGGAGAAAGAGTAACGCCCATGGAAATAGCGTGTACTTAAAGAGGATAAATTATCGTTTCGCATTACACGGTGAATCAGTCGCCCGTGTTACGTTCTTCGCCACTTGTTACGCTCGTTGCGCCACAATCTTACAATCTGTCGTTTTTCTCTCCTTTTTTTTCTGTCTCTCTCCTTTTTTTTCGGCGAACAAGGCAGACAAAAGTGCTGCCGTACAGAATATTTCCGTGTCGGGCCGAAGCCCTCGCCCTCGCGACAAAGCGCTCATTTTATGCGCGACTTATACCAGACGATACGAGCAAATGTGTATAATGTAATAGTACTCGCGCGTCACGTTGCACCTGGTCCCAACGTAAAACCGTCGAGATAATCGACGTGGAGTATCGTTATCCGTTTCCCTGTTCCTCACGCCTCTCGCGTCGCGCTACAATTACAAAGGCGCTCCGGCAACTTTGGCGTATGCCTGTCAAACACGCTTATCTTCCCAGCACACACGTGCACTCGCGTCTCTATCTCTCGATGTACCGTAAAGACGTGACGACTGGTACAACCGACAAATCTGAATCTCTAACAATGATGAGTGACAATGATGTAACGAGATTTTCTAATCGTAAAATTCCACGATGACTTTTAACTATGAGATAAGTAATGTCAAGACGGTGAAGAAAAGAGAGGTGGGAGGGAGAGGGAGAGAAACAAAGAGATTCCATGTGATTTCTCGTTGAAAAAAAAAAGATCTAACGCCGTGCCTCCTCGATAAACTGGAGCGTACGGAGCGTGAAGCGTTGTCGGAGTGTGGAAACGGCAGATTGTAAAATTACAACAGGTGACGGACAGCAGCCACGCGCGGGACAGATGCAACCATCGCCGCCTTAGCTGTACTTTGCAGCTTTGTGTACAGTCTCGCGCCTGCGAGATGCACGCGCTCTCATCCCCCTCCGCCCTCCCCCGCCTGGTCTCCCCTCACCTTGCCACGCCTCGCCTCACCTCACCACACCTCACCTCAGCTCGTCTGGCTCTCCTCGCCTCACCTCACCTCACCTCACCTCACTTCACCTCGCCCCACCTTACCTCGCCTCGCCTCACCTCACCTCACCTCACCTCACCTCACCTCACCTCACCTCGCCTCACCTCGCCTCACCTCGCCTCACCTCACCTCACCTCACCTCACCTCATCTCACTTTGCTTTGCCTCGCCTCACCTCACCTCTCGCCTCGCTTCGCCTAGCCTCGCCTCGACTCGTCTCGCCTCGCCTCGACTCGTCTCGCCTCGTCTCACCTCACCTCACCTCACCCCGCCTCGCCTCGCCTCGTCTCGTCTCGTCTCGTCTCACCTCACCTCACCTCACTTTACCTTACCTTAACTTACCTTACCTCACCTAATCTTACCTTACCTTACTTCACTTCACCTTGTCTTACCTTACCTTGCCCTCCCCTCGCTTCACCTTACTTTATCTCTCCTCTCCTCACCCTCGCCTCACCTCGTCTTTTCGCTAGGGTGGCCACCGCCGCTGGTGTCGCGTGCGTAGATGTTTGGAAAAAAGCGAGGGTGTTAGTAAAAGAGCTAGGAAGAAACATGGTCCATTGTGTTCAACGGGCCTGGAAAAACCGACAAAATTTCTGAAGCGCCTTCAGTAGTTCATCCGATTATTCACTGTTTGTCTCGTCTCCATAATGGGGCCGAATGAATCGTCAGTCTTTAATCATCCTCGATACAGTTGATTATCAATATAAAATGTATACAGAATGCGAAATGAAAGTGTACTATAGAATCTTCAGTAGTGATAATAATGAAAGAAATAAACTGTAATAACGTAACCGCTATTGAAATGGGCGAGCTTGTTCTCTGGAAAACCGTTTAGTGGCGTGTGCGGAGAAAAAAAAATGGAATTGTAACGCAACGTAAATTTATATATTATAAGGTTCTAAACAATGTATTTCATCAACAGATGCCTGCTCGTCGCGTTCTACGCCGAAACCGAGGCCGCCGACGCCGACGGATCGGCCGAATATCACATTCCACATGTACAAGTGTCCACCGGATTACGCAGAGTGGTATTGCTTGAACGGCGCCACGTGTTTCACCGTAAAAATTGTCGACTCCGTTCTGTACAACTGTCTGTAAGTACGACTCAATTCCTCACTTGAGAACCTCTCGCCCGTAGCTCAGCGAAGTCAGGCCAGGCAGTAAATACACGTTAGAATTCCATTCCGCGGGTTTTCCCCGCGGCAAAAATTCCGCAGACCGTGGACAATTGAAATGTTCGAAAATGCCCCGACACTTATGCGAGAACGCGTACAAGGAGTATTATGGCCCTCCGGTCTCCGTCGGGCGCCTCACTATGCGAGACGTGGCCGCGAACAATCGCGGCGGTACCGGGCGAAAGAGCCACCGAGGGAGAGACGGCACCACCACTCGCGCCTTGTTCAGCCGTTAATCTGTGACTGCGCAACCTCGGCACGTACGTGGAAATTCCTGTCGGCTCGTGTTCGACTGACATTTTTCCCTGAACGCTACCAACGCTCCTCCTTTGATCTACGTCGACGTTTTCTCTATTTGTCTTCCCTTCTGTCTGCTCACGAACACGGTGACTGTCGTTCGATACTCGTTCGGACTTGCTAGTTCGCAAAGATTGATGCCTGGAGGCAACGAGAGCGAGGCTGAATTTAAATATATCGAGAGAGGGAAAAAAGTCTATCGAGTAATCGGATTAACATCGGAATAGCGTCGAGGAGTGCGGAGCACACCGTGCTCACTCAACCTTACCATTTCCCACGGTGTTTGCTTTGTCGACCGCGATCTACCGCTTGAATCGAAGTCTCCTCTCATCTCGCGCTTGTCGCGCCCGACTTGAATTAATCTAACAGTCATGTTTCCTCGTGGACTTTTAAACGCCCCGTAGCAAATTTTATCAAATCCGATTCTTGTGGTGAAAAGGAGCGTGTAAACTACGAATGGCGACACCAATGAGGGATTGTGATACGGCGATTGTTTTAGCTACCATGTAGCACGCGAATACTCAATTGTAAATATTTCTGCGCGACTGCTTAAACGATTGAAACTGACTGGCCACAGGTATAAATAGAAGCTGAATAAAAGCGAAAAGATTTGACGAGATCAATGGATTGAGAAAGAAAGAGAAAAATAAGCTATTTCCCATACAGCACCAAAGCTTTCAAAAACATTTCAGAAACATTGCAACAATGTTTTCTGAAATGTTTCTGAAAGCTTCGGTGCTGTATGGGTTGTCAGTTTTTTTTTATTTTATGAACGAAGAAAAAGAGACTATACATGCAATTGCTTATTTTGCACAAAATTATCTTCGGTCTGTACAATCGACTAAAAAGGATGCTCCTTGAGACGGATAAAAAAAGTCGTCATTTAAGGGGACATCTATATCAAGTCCGTTTATCTGCTTGTCCGCTCTAACCGTTTGGTGAGAAAATATAATTTTGAGACACTGGATTGGTGAAAAGTACATTTCGACGTTGAAAACTTATATAATTTTATACTATAGAGACTATGAGTTACAAACTTATATTAAAAAAATAAAGTTTTTTTCTGTAAAGTTATATAAAAAGAACTTTATACAATTATAGAATCTGTTTCAGAATGTGGAGCGTCTCCAATAAATTCCTTGAAACCCCCTTTGCAAACGAGAATTAATGCAGCCGAATTCAGCATCCTCGCTATCCGCCGCACATATTTGTGGTGCATCGGTTTTTTATTTGCATCCGGCTTTTACGCTCACGATAACTAATGAAACATAACATATCGAAAATACGACTTATTTTGTTGCATTTTCACTTTGCCAAATGCAATAAACGCAATTGATCTTCAAGTCTTCAGGCTTTTTCTTGAATAACACATAAAAATATTAATAATTTTAAACGTGTGCTATGTACAAATTTTTTTATACAATTCTATAGCACAAAATTATATTGGAAAATACATTTTTAACTTAATTGTAATGTCGTATCTTTCATTCAATCTTGAAATTACATTTTCTCATTCAACGATCAGAGTGAATAAACCTCTTGATACGTTTTTTCGTCTCAGGAAATATTTTTTCTAGCCGATTATGACCAAAGAAAATCATATCGTGTATCCGGTAAAATTGAAAAAAAAAGAGTCGCATATGACGAGCTGGACAAATAAAAGACAACAATCGAGAAGCGTTCTGTTAAATAGAAAAAGAATCCTGTTTCATCAAGACAATGTCAAATCTTATATAATTGTCAGAAATTGTTGGAACCGTTTATCCTACTTTACCTGTCATATTCACTCGATCTTGCACTGTTATTTTTTATTCCGATTTTCGCAAAATTCTCTTTCGAAGATTCTGGAAGCCTCCAAAACCTTTCTACCGAAAACCATAAAAATAGGGTCTGAACAAGTCTGAGCAAGTCATGAACCTGCTTGAGAGATGGTCGATCAAAATGTTCTTTATTTAGATAAATGGTAGTTTCATGCACGAAATTATCCTTAAAGTTTCTTAAAAATAGAGCGAACCTTTTGGTCACAATAGGAACAAAAGAAAGTTGATTTGCAAGGAATCAAAAAGGGCACGGAAAGGACATTACGTGTCAAGACTGGAAAAAAATTATTCAAAATCTCGTCTTAAGTTTAGTCACGGACGATCTGAAGATTCTATTCAGTTAACCCTTAAATGCATCATGTTGCAATTCGGCAACATACCGATATCTAGGTGAGTAGCGTTGAATGTATGTACGGCATCGATGTTTGAACAATAACTGTTTCAGAAGTTTTCATACGCAATAACTTATGTTTCATATGTTTCTAATTTCATGATGTTGCCATTCGGCAACACACCCTTTTGTTCTTGAAAAAAAAATAGTAAGATAGATTTTTTTTCTCATTTTTCCCTTATTGTACTCCTTTTGTTGTATCATATTCAGCAAAAAAATCATAAAAACAAAAAATCATGCATTTAAGGGTTAATGAAACGATTATCTTGGGATTGTTACAGTCAAAAGAAGGTATTCGCAGAAGTACCCGAAAAATAGACAACTTCTGAAATGTTCGTCGTAAAATGAAAAAAATTAAAACTGCTGGTTTTACATATATATTCATTTATTACTATTTACATCACATTTTATATGAAAGTTGCGTCTCGCATTTTAATTCTAATAAAATAGTAAGAAATGCGTATGAAGAAAAATCTCAAAAATTACCTATTTTTCAGACTTCCTACTTTTGAGCAAAAGTCTTTTAACTCTTTTAAAATACAATCTTAAATATAAGATTGGACTATGAATACCGGTTTAAGTTTTCTTTTATGGGCAGTAACGCGTGAAATTGTGTTCGAGTTGAGTGGTAAAGAAATATATCCGAAGGATGTCGATCGTCAATCGATAATCTCAAAGTAAATTTCAAAACTTGAACGGAGGATTAATCGATCTCTTTCTCTCTCAATGTCATATTTATGTAAAAAGCGAAGCGAATAATACAACGAATAATGTTGCACCCTCTATTGGGAACATCAATATCTCGCCGGTCAAACGTTTGAGACCATTTATTGAAAATGTTTATGAAGTGAAATCAAACTTATGCATTACAACGTAATATATTTTCATTATAGTAAATAAAAAATAACATTTTGTAGTAAAATAAATTTTATAATAAAATAACAGAAAGTTTGATAGTTCTATAAGAAATATTTTTTACAAGATAAAAAGAATATTCGACTATTCTTACATTTAATCATTTTTTTATTAACGTGGGTAATCTGGTTACAAGTCTTTCTTCTTTTGTTACAGAAGATTCTTTCATCTATCTTGTAAAATAATTTATAGTTCAGTTTTGGAAAAAGATCTTAATGAATCTGTAGTCTATTTTCTTAAAATTAAACAGTGTTATTAACTACAACAGTGCTAAATATAAGTCTTTATTCAAATTGAGAAAAAATATTGAATAAGGCACGAATCGAATTTTGAACCATAGTGTTTTACTGAATTTTCAAATTCTACACATGGTCTCAAACTTTTGGCCGGCGATATATTCGATGGGCAATAGATTCGTAGGCCGGTATTCATAGTCGATTCTTATTTCAATATCATCTTAAGTGTTGTCTTAAGAGGCTAATACGGCTCTGTGATTGGTTAAAAATACATTAAGAGTATACTTAAGATGATCTTAAATATAAGAACGGACTATGAATACCGGCCGTAGTATCGAGAAAAATGTTTCCTGAATAACAGAGAAATTTGACCATTAATTAAGAAGATTAGGAATATTGAATGATATTAATTCCCAATTATGCATTAAGAGATGATAACTTATTATAAAATTATAATTCATTATATTTATAAATACATATAATCATCCAGGATACAATTACATTTGTTTATTCAAAACAAACTCGTAAATGTAATATAAATATAAATATTTGCGTGTGTTATTTGTAAACCTCGTTCGATCAATTGTACCAGCGAAGATTAGTTTATCTGAATATCATTGATTATCTTTTTAATTATTACATAATCAACGCACTCGATAAACTAATATGCTCAATTAACTAACGATTTTTTTTAACTCTTTTTGCTTATATTTAATTAAGCTCAAATAAATATTCATTAACTACTTTTGATATAAATACATTTATCTTATTACCGGTAATAAAAATAGTTGGGACTTAGAAAGCATTCTACCTTCCTACTATTCAAATTACGAAAGAAAAAGAAAACGCATGAATCATTCGTGATAACATCAATTAATGTTACTCGTGATATTTTGTTTCGCAGATGCGCCAATGGATATATCGGGCAAAGATGCGAGTTTAAAGATTTGGATGGTTCCTATTTACGTGAGTAGACCTTGCTGTTCCCGAGGGATTCTCTGGATAACTTTGGCGATGCGATACGATGCGATAGCTTTCGAAAGTATTCCAACACTGAAATGTGACAGTAAAGAATAAATTTCTGCGTTTATAGTTGTATCAAAATTATAAGCAAAAAAGTGGAATGTCATGCACACAAATTCAAATCGAAAATTTAATTTCGTTAATTTAGCGTTATGGATTTAATTTAGTGTACATTAGTGATGAGTATTTCTAGACGAAACTCATATCTTCGATCATACAATGTATATATCGATGACTCGAAAACTATAAAAATTGTTACATTCGACAATTTTATATATTTTTTTATTACAAAAACATAGTTAATTGTACGTTACTCACACGAGGTATAAAATACATCCCATCTTTAGACATTTACTAATTTCACGTAGTAAAACTTTTTTCGTAGCTCGAATACTTTGCACAAAATATTTCACAATTAAAGAAGAACTTGATCACTTATCTTTATCTAGAAGATATAGAGTATCTATCCATATTTATTTAATTGGAATAAAAATTGAAATATACAGGACACTCCACACGAGTAATTAAAAAAAAACCACGCACATAAACGTAATGTTAAGAACATTTATTAAATCGCATCACCAAAGTTACTGATATCACGTTTAATTCCTCTTCCGAATATATATTATATATATTTAATGAATTGAGAAATGAAAATGATATTTCTTTTTCTTGACAGCCTCACGGCAACGAGTAATGTTGGAGACAGCCAGCATCGCCGGCGGTGCCACAATAGCAGTATTCCTTGTCGTTATCATTTGTATAACGGCTTACATCCATTGTAAACGAAAACAGAAGGAATTACGGTCGAGGTAATTGATCGTCCATTGTCGTTATTTCATCTGTAGCAAGGAACTCGGTCGCGACTTTGACTTCTCGAATGGAATTCGCGACCTTATCGATACGGATTCTTCGCGGACTCGCAGCAAATATTACATTCGACTTTTTTTTCTTCTCGTTGCAGCAATAACAGCGTCGACACGGTGGATGGTCCTGGCCGAGATCCGGAGCTGAGGCCGTTTAGCAACCGCAGCCGCTCTCTTACGCACCCGGTCTACATGACCAAGAATACTACTAACAACTCGGTAAGATGAAGCTCGAGTCTCTATCGAGACTCTATCGATATACTAACGCCGTATAGATAAGCGAAATACGGATTCTGGCAATTCGCAACGATCACAGTAATAATAATGCATCATCCGAAATATATCTTCTCTTAGGCGACGATAGAGCAGACGAGAATGCCGAAGTGGAATTGTCCAGAAATGGAGTCGATGAAGATGGCATCCATCAACGAGAGCAAGCACCCGAGCCAATAGCGATAGAACTATATGACGCGTCGTCTGTACACAGCGTGTTGCCACGACGATTCGTTATCGGCGACGTACTCGAGACGTACGAATGATCGTCGAGTGAACTATTCACTGTACGAAGGTAGTTCGAGATATCTCGAGACAGCAGCGGCCTTTAGAAGCCTTTATTAGCGAACTTGTTGGGAAATACACCAACTTGTTGGATTCAGTGAGTGATGAACCATCTTAACGGCGATGAAAGAAGAAAACAAATGTAAATGAAGCACATAAACGATTTTTCTGAGCTGAGATGACACGTACCGGCACGACGATGTCGGCTCTCTTCGATTATTATATCGTTATGTCGAGACATTCCCCGTTATTGTCGCACTCGTGTCCCCTCCGTTTGATCGAAGGGACGTTTGATGCCCGTCGATTATCGTGTATTCCTTCTACAAACGGTTATCCCGATGAACGATTCGCGAGGAATAGGTCTTTCGTCCAGAAATCTAGAAACGAAAAGGAACTTTGCATGAATAATGTGACGTTCCAAAACGAAACATTTCCGTAGATTCTTCTGTGAAGGTTCGCGACCATTGAATGTTGTTTTTATGCAAACGGTTGTATAGTATCGCGTCTCATCGTCATCACTCATTATCAATGAAGAAAAAGAGAAAGAAAAAGTAATACACGCATCAGTTGGAAAAGTAGTGCCTTTCCACTCTCGTTTGTAAGAAAGCAAATAGTGGTACATCTGATCAAGAAAGATCAAATAGGAAAGAGAGATAGAAAACGAGAAGAAAAGTCGCCCGTCTATTTCTCTCACTAAAATTCGCGACGAGTATCGTCCAATTCGCTAACCGTGTTACGAGCGCAGGACGCTGATACACGCTAGTGACGAAATCTTCTTGTAAAACACAAAATCAATAGCCGTAAAGCGCTGATAGTAGACAAGGTAAAACCTTTGATCCTTGGTACGTATGATATCCACACTCGATTCTAACTTTGTTACTCATGAAGGACATTAATCTGATATATCTCCGGATATATATAAAGGTGATAAATATAAATGCATCTTATGAGATATCTCATGTTCTCGTGTCGCAGAGGTTTAATACATTGTGAGTAGATCTAATTTACATTATCCTTTCACCGAACTCTTCCAAAGAATGTAGGCGAACGCGCACCATTGAACGTACCATTAGTATCAAAGGGTTAATGAACATATGTGTCTTATGTAGAAGTATCTAAGATTTAAATCTAGATTAAATCCGATGTCTTACCAGAAAGCAATAGTTCCCTAAGCACATATGAAGTACATTTTGCCGCTAAAAATAGAGATGCTATTTATTACTAATCGGTTAGAAAGTCTATTGACGTCAGATCGCCATCCGGCGTTGTACTGTTACATATTGACAAATATTTTCTCAAGACGTTTTGCTCCTGTAACGCGAAATATCGTTTACCAAATCTTAGGCACACAAAAAAAATGACGTACTTATAGTGAATCAGTTTTCGTTTCCACATCTGTAACCAAGCGGTAAAAATAAAAAGCGGAATTTAAAGCGCCGTTAGCTATTATTACAAAGTAGAGCAACAAATATAGTAGAACAGTAAACCCAATGACTTTGTAAGCGCAGGGTCATAATTTGCTAACTCGGTGATAGAAAAACTGCAACTAAATAATTTATTTCGTCTATTTATACGGGAAAAAAGTTGAATATGAAATTCAAAGAATTTCTAGCACTTTTCGTCCTATTTATCTCGATATCAGAACAATGAAATGAATACTGAATGATATACGCATTTATCATTTTAGATATTAATTCCGATTATCGTTTCTCATTAGCATTCGTCTCATACGTAATATAAAGGAGTAACCTGCCGGCATTGTTAAATTATTTAGTAAACTCAAGTAAACTGCTATATCGTCTAATATTAAATTATATATTGATCATGCATCGTTATTTCATACATCTCTTGTTTCGTTATTTATTTATTTAGATAGAAAGGCTTGGTCTCCAATCTCACATTTCTTTTCTATTCGAACCTCCCCAACATCCCCCGACTTATGTAGCATTAAAAATGTTGTGTTAACAATGCAATAGAGTGGAATTGATATGTATATTTGGAGATATCTCATCGCGTAGAAAGCTGGGCCTCTTTTGTCACTTTGTCTCAGTTTCTTGTAAATAGTAAGTTATTTTATGTTAAAGGAAATCCCGAATCGTAAACTATATTAATTATTTAAAAAAAAAACGTTTTCGTCGCGCCACGTCGTATTACGCTGTACTACGTTCCACCAGCCTGATACCTCATCGTATTACGATGCACTGCGCTTTAAAAAAACCGAAATGCATATTTTTATAATTATATAATTCGTTAAAAGAGAGAACAAGAAAAGGTACTGAAAACATTGAACGATGATTCAATAGTAATTTGTATATTTGTAGATACTTTCGAGTAAAAAGGAAAGCTTCCAAACATCTTGTTTCATCTTCTTCATATTAATCACCCACCCGTCGCTCGTCGCTTTGAGTCACATTTAATAATGACAACAAACGGCTTTCTCTATTTGAACTACTCAAGATTTCTGCTTGCTACAAAGAAAAAATTAGAGCTAGAAAGAAAGAGGAAAGCTTAAAGTAAGAAACGAAAGCGTGGCCTAAACATTTATAAACGCGGATACAAATGGTATTTTTATTATTTATAAATAGTCCTCATTAACAGAATGTATTCTAATTTAATTTCCCATATTTCATATTGTACGTGGTTCCTAATTTATTATTACTGTATATATATATGTGTATATATATGTATATGTATATTTATATATTTATATTTATATATATATGTATATATATACTATATAATAATAATGATACGTATACTATTATTATTATTAGTATTATTAACTAATGTAATTAATTATGACTATTTGTTTACTATTAGAAATTATTATTTCAATAAAACTATTTAATAAGAACCTGTTTGTGAAAAGGAATGTATGAAATACACAGTATCAAAACGAATGCTGAGAATAGAACGTGTGATTGTGAGCATTGTGTCACATCCAAATCTAGAATGTGTATTTAAAGCGGAACCATCGGATGACACGAGAGAGAGAAAATAACATTTCCTTCTGATTTCGTGCGTTTGATGCGGTTTCTAAAGAAATTTAGTCAGTAAAATATTCGCTGTAAGACGTCAATATCTTGGAACTAGTACCTCCATTGTATACATACACATTGTATAGCTAAATAGGAAAATTAACAGCTGTCCTATATTTTGCACATGTTAGGTTTCCTTCCGTTTCCAAATCGAACGCGATTATATTGTTCCGTAAACACACATTATGTGTAATTTGTTTTATTTGTATGTGTGTGTATGTATATAAAAGAAATAATCTCGAGTTCTTTTTTAGAAGAGATGAATGTATATCTCATTAATACAAATTTGTTCGTATAAAATACATGTAGTACTCTCGACAATCTTAAACATCTCGGCAATAAATCTATAAGAAATATTTGTATTCAACCATTTTTTTTCATTAATTTAACTATTAAGGTTACAAGAAAACAATGTTTTATCTGAAATCAAAAGAAATTATTGGTTTAAGTTATCCGATACATTTACAGCAAAATGTACTTTGAAATATACGTTCTCTTCAAAATTGTCGCCGATTGCTACAAATTCTAATACATAGGCTTGCCAATAAGCTCAGCAATGATTAAAGACTCTTTTGTTGCTGGATAATTGTTGAAACATTAGTTTGTGACATCGTAATTAAAAGTAATCTGCGATATTGACGAATTTGAAATCTTTGTCTCTTTCATGTCACCCGATGGTTAACTAGTATTTCCACTAATCTAACGCTTTTTCCCGACTGGTCGAATCCAGGCCAGTCAAACGAGAGCCTTATTACGATTTGTATCTTGTAAATTGTCGTCGTCAGAGATGATAAACGAAGCACTTATGATAACCAGCTTTGAGAGGGTAGCCAATTAATGTACCAGTGAAGACATTTTATTACATCGGACGGCATCGTATATTGTATTCCGCGCTACGATATTATGAATCAATGACACAAATATTATAAAATAACGACACCAAAATGTCATCCAAAAAACAAATGATACAAATGCCGTTTCCTTCGCACCATTCGATAATTATCTCCTACGATATAGTTGAGGTGAATAGCATTATTTAAATTATATCATGTTGAGTTAATTGTAATTTCATAGACGTACGAAAGGCTATTAAACGATGTCACGCGGTTTCTTCTAGCCGAACGAAAATTAAACTCAAAATTACTTTATTACCCTATAATTAATTATTAAAAATCAACTGTTTCAATAGATTCGAGTGCAAACTTCCAGTTTCGAAGGTTTGCGACTACCAGAGTTTTGATTCGATATATCACAAAATAACATTATGTACGATATTTACTTTATTGTCCATATTCCAAATTATATTTCTCACCGACTTTCATTTCATGATTACGAATCTTAGATCTGTGAAACGGCTGAAAGTCAGAATACTAAATGCACTACAGTACAGTTCATATTTTCGGAAACGCTATCATTTTCAATTTGCAATAGTAATATGTGACATCGCTTGTTACATTGATTGATACTTCTTAGATATAATGAATAGTCAGTATCAAAGCAATAATGTTCATCATCATCAGCGATCACAGCCATTAATTCTTTGCTCTGTTGGATGGCACCGTCTTAGAATCTTACTCGAGAAATTGCGAATACTCTAAGAGAGAGATCTTTATTGCGCCTTATTCACCATCCGGTGGTTGGCTCTTAGAAATGACAATCTTCTTCGTGCAATGCTCGTTCTCGCGGGCATTTTATGACAGTGGATAACAGCGGGTACCCTCATCTGACGTACCAAGCCTCCATAGTATATTATTCTGACGTTAACATACCAAAGACATCAATTAATTTGGAAAAATTAGTTGTTTAGAAGGGAAGAGCAAGCGCGGGCGCGCGCGCACGAGACAGAGGAAAGGAAAACGGCTAACAGATTGATCTAAAGTTACTAAACGGCATTTTGATGAAAATAAAAAAAAAGAAGAGATACCGATCGGCAATGTTGCACCAGAACATTGTTATTATTTTTGTAAAGAAACCTTGTACATGTACTAACTTAGCGTGCTCTGTGGGTGGAAACTTACGATATGTTAAATATTATTATTATTGTATTATTATATTATATATTATTATTGCTACTATATAATATTACTTTTATCATCATTATTATATTAAAATAAAAACTATGAAATCTTGTTTGGAAATTCTTAAGCAGCGTGAGTATCGATTTGACACATTTCATTCATTGCTACATCTTTTTTTTATTAATATTCTGACACGCGCGCGCGAACACACATACACACATATTCAGCAACATTTTTGTGATATATTTGGATAATACATTACAAAGTAGAAGTATCCGCTGTGTGAACTAATATTATGTCGTTTCTCCCGCAATTATTTGTCATTTTAGGAATCAAATTCAATTCAATGTATCACTCGTGAAATCGGAATATTATAAATATTTATCAGATATTTCGTTTTATTGTATTTTTCGCTGGATAACTATACTGCGTTTAAAGGACACGAAACATATTAAATTTTGGTTAAATCAAATAGAGACTGGTGTCTACAAATATATTATTCATAATTCTCTGCGAGGAGTCTATTCTAATGTTTTAATTCACGTTCTGTTTAAATTACTATTTGGTTTGGCCACTTTAGACATGTTATTTCAAGCGTTTCCAATTTTTAAACGGAAATGTAATTGTCTTTGGGATATATACATTAGAGGAATTTCATAAAAAATATTATAGTAAGCAATATAAAAGATATAATTTGATAATACCTATATATTTTTACAAAATAGGATATTGTTTCAAATTGAGGAAATATTTTAAGATTTTATAACAAAATTAAGTGAAATTTTTCTGAAGTTACTAAAACTAAAAAACAATTTTTAACAACTTAAAGCAGATTTGTACAGCGTTTAAGAGAAAAAAATAATATATGAATTAATAAAAAAGAACTAAATAAAAACTAGATATTAGATATCAGTTTGAATAACTCCAAGTTATTTTACATCATACAATTATATCTGCTTTAAACTATAATTCTGCTAAAACAAAATGTAATGCAAGCATTGAACTATATCGAAATGTTCTAAACCTTATATTTATAGTTAATGTCTCGTTTCTCATTGTAATTCTGCTACATTGACTGTGTCTAGCAGATTATCTAATACAATAGTTGAAAGATATACATACTACACTTCTTCGATTGAAACAAATAATTCACGTTTTACTTTAGAGGTTAATGTTTATTTGCCCTCATTAAGCTTATTCAAGTAAATCTTCCAAAACTGTGAATTACGCAAATTTATAAACGATTGTAATTGCGTGTTCAAAATTGGCCTTAAAGCTTTGCCCGGCGTCCATTTTATCACAGACGGCGCAACAAATTCGAATTTGTGTCTAGAAAGGCTGATCAATGCAGATATTATGCCTTCTTGTTGATCGTGTGAACCTGTTTAAAAATAAATCAGATTACGTATGTATATTGTATTATATACACAAGTATTATGTTGCATAATGAAAACTACACTTTTCATACAAAACGAATATACCACCTTGGCCAGAATTGATAAGGTCACAAAGCTGTTCGCTGATGTCTCTCACGATATTATCTTTATCCTCTTGTGGGAATGCGCGTAAAAGCCTTCCTGTAAATATGTAATATAATATCAGTAAGATATTCTTTTGTCAAAAATGTAATATGATAAAAAAAAATAACTTACCAAGTAATGAAAATGCGCTATATACACAAGGATGCTCATTATTAATGATCATTGGCAATAGATTAGATTTAATAATATTGTTATACGTCGAAGCCGGTCCTTCTCTCTTTGCAACAAGTATGATGGCTGTATCTAAGCCATTCATCCGTTTAGCTAAAAACATATAATTGCATAATTAATTAATATAATTCGTAAAAACATGATGTGAAAAATGTGCTTACCTTTAAGAGCAGTCATAAGGTCCTTAACAATATTCTTTTCTGTTTCTTCAGTTGCACAATTATAATTATAAAATTTCGTTAAAAGACGTTTTAAGTTGAGTAATCTGTCTAGTGTAGGATCCAAACCTCCCTTAAACTTTCCAAACACCATCGACCTGATGAGAAAGACTATGACCCTCGGTAATATTTCTGTAAAAATTCAACATTTTTATAAATTTACATCTTACATCACAAGCGATGCAATTTTGTACACAGCGATTTTAATAATCAGAATCGAAAATGCTTATTATTGCTTAGTGATACGATCGGACTTTATCACTGTTTCTCTGGGACAAAATAGTTTTTCTTTATAACATCTACGATACCTTTGTTAGCCTCGCTATTTGGAATAACTTCAGGCCAGGATGTTATTGCTGTATACAAAACGCCTATTGAGTTCCCACCCATGCCATAGAGAGCATTACAGCATATCATGCGTATTTTTTCTCTATCCTTCTGAATACGCGACAGGACGACGTAAACCCGTGTGAGCGTGTCAATTTGCACCTATATGCGTGAAAGTATTAATATTAATCTGTGAATCGAAAGTGTCACTTTGCTATTGTAACAATTTGATTTAACTTGTTAAATTATGTTAGACAAATAAAATATACACCTTCGTCACAGAGCTGTTAAGTCTAAACAGATTGTATTCGATGCCGGCTTGTACGAAATAAATCACCGTTGGTTTCAACGCTTCCAAATCGAACAATAACGCTACAATCTTCTGTTCAAAGGTCGTCAAAGGTGGTGCTGGAGGAGTAAATGATTTATTCACAAGTTCATCATGATCGACATCCTCCAATAAAAACTCCACTATACATCTAAAATAGACACCAAAAAATATTATTGCATTCTCTTTATCAATTTAACAAGCGAAACTTGTAACTTTAATTGAAATTTTTAAATGGCAGCTCTAATATATGTATTATATATAAATTTACATATCATTAATTCCTATATTGTATTATAAATTATAAATTTATTATATATAGAGAAAAGTCCCCCCTATATAACAGGCTCCTAAAATGAGATAGCGGAGTTTCTGCTAGAGTAACAGGCATCATCTGTATCGGTTCCGCCATGAATTCATTGCCCTTGGAATAAAATCTGTTTAGTGGACAATCGATTGTTAGATCGTGTGTGATTGTTGCGAAAAAAGATTTGTCATTGAATTTGGACGTTGAAAACCTGCTATCTCATATTAGAATCCTATCTCATAATAGACTTTCCTCTATATATTAAAGTCTTTCTGTATATATATATATATATTACTAATTTATATATTGTACATATGTTGTACAATAATATTTATTTTTCTATCTTATCTGACTAATATAATTAAATATATATACAATTTCGTCTGACATTTGCATATTTCATAAAAATGTCATACTAACTTGGCTATGATCCGAGGTCTACATGTACTTCCTAATGTTTGTACTATATTGTCATGTATAGTCTCTTCCCAGGCACTGCTTATAAGTCTTTTTAATTGGTTTTTCACAAATTGGTCTAAAACACATGGAATATACAGAATTATATTAGTAATCTTGTTTAGTAATTAAAGGACTATCTATTTTTGATGATGCATGAGAAAGCGTTTAAACTTAAGCGTTTCTTTTTAAACGTTTTTAAGTAATACTTATTGATCTCTCTTTATCAAATTTTATATACATATTTATCAATTAATATTTAAATGTATCACAGGTCTAAAGTATTAATTCGGAGCAGACTATTAAACATACACATAGATATACCCACTATTGCGCCAAAGAATATCAAACAAGAAACATTCAAAAATCTTTTCTTTTTCAGGTCAATTTGTCGCAAGTTGACAATATCTAAAATCAATTGGTATGAATGTTTCTAAAAAGTATTTCTCGAGAATTTAGATTAAAAGTTGTTTCATTCATAAAATTTGATCTTTTATATACTTTTCATACATAAATACAGAAAATTTTCTGATAAAAATATAATCTTTAACTTTGGACTGTGATTATTTTGAAAATTACACGTTTTTGTTAAGTAAAGATTTAAGTATTCGTATCAAGTATTTTTATAACAACTGTCTTATACACATTTAATTTTTTTCAAATAAATTAAAGAAAAATTATAATTTCTTTTTAGTTTATTTAAAAAAATTATTGGACTTACCTCATTGTGTATTTTAAACTATAAATCTATATTGTTTTGAAGATTAATATATATTTTTTTAAAAAGTTAACGTATGTAATGTTAAGTCGATAAATGTTTAAAGTTTGATAAATATTCAATAAGTATTTTTATTTTTAAAAAAAGGCTTTCTCATGCGTTTTGAGAGCTACTTCTTCAAATTATATTTTTGCTACGTACCTGTTATTTTGCAAATGTATTTTATTTTTCTATTTGATAACTTGTGTTTCTTGATAGGCTTAATATATTCCATTAATTTTGACATTGGCGTCTGGAATTTCTCATCAACTTGAGAGACATCAGAAGATTTCGTTTCTTTATCTTGTTGACTCATGCTTATATTTTTTTTCCGAGTCTGAATAGCCTGTACCTTAATTGTTTCATTATTAACACACGTTTCTTCTCGTTTATTTCTTGTGTTTTTTATTCCTTTGACAGACTCTTTCGTGTTACTGTCATTTATAGAATCATCACAAATGACACCGCTATCTCTCAATGACGGTGAACATAGAACTTCAGTAGCTTCGTCAGCTGTCTCACTATTGTTATCGCTCTGGGACTCCTTGACAAGATGATTAAAAGTATCGATAAACTTCGTTTTACGTTGTTGATTCGCACACGCATTTCTTTTTATCTCTATGGACCGTATCCTAATTGTTTTATTACTAATGAATGTTTCTTCTCCTTCTGAATTCTTCGTTTCGTAGAGAGATTCTTTCACATTACTGTCATTTATATTTTCGACAATACCACTGTCTCTTAGTATGGGTGAACGTAGTACTTCAGTAGTTCCATCAGATGTATCGCTATTATTACAACTTTTATTTCGCATTGTTTCTAGCAAGTTTGATCGACCGTGTAGAACCGACGACTCGCCATTCGAAATCGCATCCTTCGATACTTCGTGATCGTCATGACTTTTATTTCCAAGTACTTTCCAAGTGCTTTCCAAGTGCTTTACTTTTCTCATTTCAATTATTTTCAGTGTAGGTCTGTCGCACTTTGAGTCTTTACAGAGGGTACTGGACTTCGATTGGGTAATTGTTTTCATTGGAATTGATTCTGAGTCGTTTGCGATATTATTATGTAACACATTCGGCTCGTCACCATTGCTCGACGTTTCTCCTATTACCCTATCCATTGAGACACTTTTGTTGATTGTATCTTCAATCGGGACGTCGTTACTCTTCTCAAACTCAGAATCACAATCGATATTGTTAGTAGACAGAGCGACATCATTGTGTTGATGGCGATCTTCAACAGTCGTCAAAGCTAAATTTTTTTCGTTTATAGGTTTTCTACCAGCAATACTATTTGTTTCAATAAATTCGACGCTTCCCTCACATTTCTTAGTTATTGTGCGACTCGTGTTGCTTTCAGTTAAGTTACTTAAATTTACTTTCGAAGCACATGTATCTAGTCGTTGAATTCTACTAACTTGTCGAGTCGCAACGGTAGCTATACTTCTTATTGTGCTATGTGTATAATTAGTTTCGTTGACGCTCAATGGAAGAACTGGCGTTTTCGGGGTATGTGCAATTCGTTTTCTCGCCGGTTCATAATCGTCGGAGCATAGTTTATTATCTTCTTGTTCTCTGGACTCTACTCGTGTATCTAAATTTCTCTTTAAATTTCTAATTTTCTCTAATGACAGATCGCAGCTGTCCTCTTCGTTTTCAATTCGCGACTTCTTCGCTAATTCATCATGCTCGGAGCTTGCTTCACTATAATCGGAATATAAATCAGTAGTGTCTTGCTTATTTATACGTTTATTTGGATGCGATGCCCTTTTCAAGATCCGAAGGTTCTTTAATATGCGATCGCCAACTTTACTTTTACAAATATATTGGCCTTTTCTCTTTATTTTGTTTCCCTCTGCTTTAACACTGTCGTCCTTATCCTTATGTATATCTTGACCCTTACTTTTTATCAGATTTTTTCCTGCAACAATATCGATAACTTTGCCATCAGCATGATCAGTAGAATTTTCATTACATGACATTCCAGTTTCTGTATCATTATCCATATTGACAACTTTTACATTACTTTTGTTTGAAAGATTATTGTTTGCATGTGTTTCGCCAACCACATATTCATGTATATTTTGGTCCTTATCTTTTATTTCATTTCCTTCTGTATCAATCCCAACGATTTTGTCATCAGCATTATCAGTAAAATTTTCATCATTAGATAAAGATGTTCTTCCAGTTTTCGTTCGATTATTCGTATCAATAGCTCCTACGTTATCCTCGCTTAAGAGAGTATCGCTTGCATATATTTCGCCACCCTTATCTTCATGTATATTTTGGGCTTTAGTTTTTATTACATTTTCCTTTGCATTAATATTA